ATGGTAAATTTGTCTGGATATTTTTATAATGAAAATGGTATCCTGAGCTGATGGTTTTATTGTAGCGTGTTATGCATGTGAATCAGGTGGAAAGGATAGAGGAAACATATAAATAGTGAAAATGATTATTAATTATTTATTTATTTATTTGTTTTTTAAGGTTTTGACTGTGTATTTGATTAATAATCACTGGTCTTTTAATAAATTTATTTACTTCAGTGTCTTTCCCATAATAGTAGAAAAATAAGTTCTGAAATGTATTTCGGACTACTAGTTAAACAGATAAGTCAGCTTGATAAAGGTATGAACATTCTAAGATCGTGAGAGATATCTTCAATTGTTCCGTTTATATTTATTCTTTCTGATGTGATTTCCAAGAATAATATTGGACTTGAGCAAATTTTAAATCTTATTCAGTATTCTCTATAAGTATATATTATGACTTTGAATATTGCTTTGAAGATGACTGCTCTTCTTTGTCTGACAAAAGATCGGCATTCCATATGCTTGTACATGTTACATTCTGAAGATTTCGGGGTTTAACACATCAAATTTATAAAGCTTGTCCTCCAAATTTTATGAGAATAACATTATCAAAGGGTCAATCCAAATTAGAGTTTTGTGTCTGCAGGACTTGGTGAGCGGGTTTGATCAAGAGGTTGCTGCTGTAGTCATGGCTAGATTAGCTTCTTATAAAATGGAGATGGAGGTACTTCTGTTACTTACTTGGACAGTTTTAAGCATAACTCCATGCACGCACACACGCACACGCACACTCACTCTCACTCGCACTCATCCTCTCTTTTTCAGCATAGACCTGTGGCCGTATAAATTTCTCTCCCCATTCTATTTCTTGCTAAATCACTTAGTTATGGGTTCGGTCCTTTTTGTATCTGGAATTTTTAGGTCACTTTGCTATGAGGTCTTGGAACAGTAAAACTAGAGTTGATGTTGTTGTGCTGTTAATTTAGGGGTAGGACCGAGCAAATAAAATGTTGGTTGTGGTGGGAAGACACAGTTCAAACTTGAAATATGTTGGGGGCATAAATCTGGTTTTACAAGTTTAGTTGAATAGCAATATGCTGTATAAAGTAGAACTATTACTCCTTTTTACTACACATCTGGTTGTAAATTAACTTGTTTGTCAAATTCTGATTTCGAACCATTTATTTCTTTAATTCTCCTTCTCAACTCTATTTTTGCCATGTCCATGACATCATTATTGCACTGTAGCCATCAGTGCTTATTAGGGTGCCCATGTGATACATGCTTAATATGCTGGTAATTTTAGAGGAATGCATGATTAAATGAGTACTACTCACTTATCCACCAATCATTTCTATCTATTTATAATTTAAACTCTTTTAGACACTTCCAAAAATGCTTTAAAATAGATAGGGAATAGATTTTTGTTTAATATATATATATCTTGGTTCATAGTTGGGTTTATGATAGTTCTTGAGTTTCGATTTTACTTATTCTATTTTTCTTGATAATAATTTCATGGACTTCAAGATTCCTGATTTGAGGAAGATTCGTTGTATTCCGAGGTTTGTAGTGGCTATTCTGCTGCTTGGAGAGCATTTTGAAGAAGGAACATCCTAACAGGATTCTCTTTTCAGTACGATAGTTTGAGATAGTATGCAACATGCACTGCCCCAATGGAGGAGTAGAGTTCCTTTTTTTTTTTTTTTTTTTTTTTTTTTTTTTTCAGTTAATAATTGACACATGTAACTTTCAATCCCTCTCCGATATTTGAAGAACTACGGTGTTATCTTCTTTATTGAAATATCCTGGGGGTAATTTCATAGGTGATGAAAAACTTTTTCCTAAGGAGAATAGAAGAATATCGTCATGTTCGTGCTGACTTTATAAGAGAGATGCATGAAAGCATTCAAAAGAAAGGAGAAAAAAGATCTATAGTTGAAATCGATTAATTCTTTTTTCGTTTCTCTCATATTCTAAAAAAAAAAAAAAAAAAAAAAAAAAAAAAAAGGGCCAAATCACTATCGACAACGAATGCAAACTGCAGTATAAGTCTATCCCAACTCTTAGATTTCGGTGGCTGATGTATATAGTGACTTGTATTTAAGGTAGATGGTTGGCTTGCACTCAAATTCACTGAGGGGTACCTCTATTTTTATTATTAATTTTTTTTTTTTTTTTTGTTGTTGGGGTTGGGGGGCAACTACCATCAACAACAAAATGCAGTCTATCAGATTGAGTATTAAGCATAGGACTGCTCAGGAAGTCCTTCACTCTCTCTCACACCAGCTACCTTACCTAATGTATCTCTCTGGGTATATATAATGAAATTATGTGATCTTTTTATTCACTAGTTTATATATCCGCCCCCGCTGGGGGGGGGGGGATATAGGAAAAATTATCGAGATTGTAGTTTATAATGTTCACCTGTGATGAGTGTTGGAAAAAAGATGAAGTTCTAGTGGGTGTCATCCTGATACTTGGCACACTGTCTTGCTGCATTGAACTTAACTGGTAGGATATGATTGGTAGAATATATAACTTGTATCCTAAGGAAAGTGTATATACTGATATATTATTCTCCGAATTTCATTACTTGAGTAGGCAGTAGTCTGATGAATGATTCTGTGTTGTCAGGAAGGATTTGATGCCACTAGGTGGTTAGACCGGAATCTGATTCGTCTATGTTCCAAATTTGGTGACTACCGAAAGGATGATCCATCCTCATTTACGTTAAATCCCTGTTTTTCGTTGTTGCCTCAGTTCATGTTTAATCTGCGGAGATCACAATTTGTACAGGTTATATTTGTTTGAAATTGTATTTTCTTTCCTCATTCTTTTATGTATATGACATTCAAACTTTGCTCCCTCCCTCCCTCTCTCTCTCTCTCTCTCTCACACACACACACACACACACACACAGGTGTTCAATAATAGCCCCGATGAGACAGCCTATTTCCGCATTTTATTGAATAGGGAGATCATAAGCAATGCTGCAGTCATGATTCAACCGTCATTAATATCATATTCATTCAATTCACTACCTGCACCTGCTTTGCTGGACGTGTCATCCATTGGACCTGATCGTATCCTATTGCTGGATTCATATTTCAGTGTAGTTATTTTTCATGGTTTGACAATTGCTCAATGGAGAAACATGGGTTATCAGAATCAGCCAGAACATCAGGTGCTCCTTGTTATACTTGCTCGATACTATGGATTTACATTCCAAAGTACTATGTTTATTTGTTAATTTAGTTATTTAAGACGAGGAAGTGTTCTATGCCACTGCTGAATCAGCAGTATATAAATATATTTTCTTCAAATCTTTAATCTTCCAAACCATCAAATTTATTCTTGAAAACCTGGTAATTCAATTTTTATTTTGGAGTAGATTGTGCTTTATGAAAGTAACATGTTAATTTTTTTCCTTGAAATTCATAGGGTGTTTGGTGAAGATGAAAATTAGATTTTTTAGTAAATTGTGATGGAAGCTTTTGAAATGTATGGTTGGAAAGTTATGGGACCCATAAAAGATGTGGTTAATCTTGATTGTTTGATTTTGACTTAGATTAAAATAAGATTTTAATTCAAACCAAAGATGCTTAGTTTTTATTTTGAGTCGATGTGGTAATATATATTTTCTCGTGTATAAGAGGACTTATTTTCTTATCAACCACTTTCTACTTTCTAATTAACCTTTTTTTCTCATCTGTATAGGCTTTTGCGCATTTGTTACAAGCTCCACGTGATGATGCCGACTTGATTATTCGTGACCGGTTTCCGGTGCCAAGACTGGTGGTCTGTGATCAGCACGGCTCCCAGGTCACCTTTTTGTTTTCATCTTAGTTTGATGGACTTGCATATTCTGTGTTTTTTTGTGTAAATATAGCTATGAGCTAACTGTTGAATCTTCACTTTAGCTTAATGATGCACATTTCTGGATGTCTGCTTGGAGTACTGTGCACTTACATGTTCTAAGTGTTTGAATGAAAAGCATTCTTGCTTTTGTTCCTCCCTCCAACCCCATTTGCCTTAAGATAGGAACTGGTTTTCCTTGTGATGACGTCGTAATACCTGATTATAGCTAAATTAAATTAAAAATGATTTCCTCTCATATTTGTTTATAATACTTGGACCTGTTTTGAGCAGGCAAGATTCCTGTTGGCAAAGTTGAACCCATCTGCGACATACAATAATGCACACGAGATGACAGCTGGGTCAGATGTGATTTTCACTGATGATGTGAGTCTACAAGTGTTCATTGATCATCTTCAGCGGCTGGCTGTCCAAGCTTCTTAAGAACGTGAAAGAGTTAGGATTCCTATGGTCAATTCCTCGATTTTGTAGAAATCCTAATACAAGGTTTCTCTCTCTCTCCCTGTTACCATCTTCATCCTATTCTGTGGTGGTTTTACCTTCTTCACATCAATCGTGAGATTGAGAAGTTCAGAGCCATCACTATTAGAATCAAGGAGAACAGTTCTTTCGAGGGGCTTGCAAGAAGGGGTGTTCTCTTTTTCAAACATAAAAAGGGTTTTGAGAATTGTTGTTTAGAGTGGCATTGTTAAAATGGTCAAGCTGTAAATTTTTGGTGGACAGACAACTTAGCAAGATATAATTTACCATCATTTATGTAAGTACCAAGATTACGTAGTTTTTCGTCTGTATTGATTTTTTAAGATCTATGAATGTTTTTCTCCTACGTGCCATTGAGTCTTATAAAATGTTTAGATAAAAAGTATGCACGATAAGTTTAAATTATAATTTAAGGTTACTTGTGACCATCTCAAGAGTTGAAGAAGAAGATTGGTTGAAGTTTATCTTATTGATTCACGTGTTAATGTAAGTTAGTAATGATTTCGTGGAGTAGCACTTGGTTGTCACATTTTAAGATGTTTTCATATTTATTTTTCCCTTTTAGCTATTACGAGAATGGCTTTAGCTTTTATTTTCTTCTGCTGACTGATCAAGAACGGGCCGGGCCGTGGGAGGCCAAACAAGCTGCAGCTCAACCGCAAACGCACCATCTCTTCACTAAGCCTTCAATTACTCCAAACCCATCTCTCCAATTTATTCGAAACTTTCCTCCTACCCCTCCTATTAAGCGCTTGTTTGAGCCCCATTTTATGGGAAAAATGAATTTTGGAATAGTATATTGATGGAAAATGTGTGATTAAAAAATAAGATTTTTTTTGAATTTATGTGTAATATTATTTTATTAAAAAATGTGTAGTTGAAATGATGTCAAAATACTGTTTAAAAATATATTTTTGCGGAAATAATGGGGCCTCAAACAGGGGCTAAATCTTTTCCTTGTCCCAGCCTTCTAATATTCCAATATCATTTACTCATATTTTATCATACCTACTTATGGATGTCAATTGGGCTTATCAGCTTGGATTGCCCAGGGCTCGGCTTGGCTTGAGGCTCAAAGGCACCAAGCTTCGTTTTGGGGAGTCAGCTTGAGTTGGTTCAACCCGTATGGCTCGACTGGCCCATTAAAAAAAAAAATACGTTGCATGTTTGGCAGCTAAACTGCTTTAACTGGTAGCAATAGTGATGTCAAAATGGGTAGGCTGATTCTAAGTTGTGGACCGAAATGACCCGTTAAAATTATTGAATTGAACCGTTCCGATTAGCAGATCGGGACTTAATCGGCCCAAAAAAAATTGTATGGACCCAAGGGACCACTCGTGGCCCGAAAAATAGCCGGGTGGCCATCGGGCAGTTTGGTTCTGTCCAAAACGAATCGGCCCGCTTACATGGATGAAGTGGGAATACACACTGTCGATATTTACAAATCCAATTTTCAAAATTTCAGTTCACTTTTACATCATTTATTAAAGCTATTGTTGTACTTGGCTAATTTGTTCACAGCTGACATATCTAAATAGTTGCAGCTACAATAATTTTCACATCTTTAAATATAGGATGTCAATAGGCTTTCTATCAGTAGTGATATATGCCTTAATATTTAATTAATTTTTCAAGACAAAATAAAGGTTGAAATTGGGAAAAACACAAATCCAATCCAACTTCCAATGGTAGGATAAATGATTTAGTTTATTTGTTTCTAACTTCGAAGGAAACACGATAATTCTTTACAACTGAGTGATTATAGTTTAAATATTTCCCAACTAGGTGGACACATACTTAACTATTAATTATTTATGTATACATAGTTTAAGTACATCCCAACTAGGTTGACACCTGCTTAACTATTATTCAATTGTTTAAAATATTCTAAGTTTGCCAATTAATCTTCTACAACTTCTTTTGCAAGGCTTTTGAAAGTGTTCAGTGATATTGTCAATCATTTTATCTTTCATTCTCCTATCTGGGAATATCATCATTTTATCTTGCATTCTCCTATTTGAGAATATCCAATCTTTCACGCGTATAGGAGCTTCCATAATGTCTTCCTCGAGTCTTGACCTTCTTTTATCCAATACCCTACCACCTGCACTAAAAGCAAACTCGGATGCCACTGTTGATACCGAAATTATTAGTAGATCTCGTGCCATTTTTTATAGGAAAAATTGCAACCGAGGTACCAAAACTTTCGTTTATTAGCATACTTTGTCCAAACCTTCATTTTATACCAGCAAAGGTTCCAAATCTTTCATAAATATGCAGCCGAAGTCCAGATGGATGGAAACCGTCCATTTGACCGTTAATTGACCAAGAAAAGTAAATGTTGACCTATTTTGACTAAATTGGAAATGATAAAATGGTAACTTGATAATTACCATATTAAATAAACTGGAAAAAAATCAAAAAATCAAGAAAAAATCAAAAAAAAAAAATCTACGAAAAAAAATTAAAAAAAGGGTTGTCTTTTTCAACCACCCCACCCCATCCTGAACCACCGTCCCGAAAATGAACCTGCTATCAATTCTCTTAGCAATTTTTTTGTGCTACTTTGCAGATCTTGGATCAAACGCCAGCTTCTCTTAAAAAGATCAGCTGGAATGAGGTCTTTCAAATGGGTGAACAAATCTCCAAACAAGCCACTACGGGTCTCTCCCTCTCTCTCTCTTCGTCTCTGTACGGTTAATTCAAGTTCAATTTCTTGCTTGTGACTTCCTATTAACATATGTGTTCGTTTATTGGTTTTGATTGATGGGTTTTTCTTAAATTCGTTTTCTCGTCCAAGAATTTGTGACAGTTTATGAAATGCTTTGCAGTTCCTATTTGTTCAAGTTTTTCTTTGGTTATCATTATTTTTTTTGATTTCTTTTGGGTGGGATGGAGGTAGAGGTGGAAGCGAGAATAGGGGTGTTGTGTTGAGTTGGAGAAAGAAGGTTGGAGTGGGGGATGGTGGTGGCCGGTGGATGGCGGACGGCACCACTGACGATGGCCTGTTGCAATTTGGATTTTGGGGGCGGGG